AATTTTTTTTTTTTTTTTTTTTTTTTTTTTTTTGGCATGATACATATGGGAAGGGTAAAGTCATTTTAACTTCAACTCTGAACACTTATGTAATGGCTTCTGAAAGTCAGTGTTTGAGTTTTCATTATCATCATTTTATTAGACTTTATTTTTGTATTATGGAGAATTCCTAAAAAATGAACCTGACTATCCCAGTAAACCTTATTTCTTACCTTAGGAACTGATGTATCTTCTGGCTCGCTTTGAGCAAACTTTTCTTGTTGGTCAATTTTAATTCTTAGAAGACTCCAGGTCTTTTACCAGACTTCTTGAGCCAGTCGTCCATACTGCTTACTGTTGTTGGGCCTTTCTAAACCTTGCCCGGGTTAATCTAATGGTATGCGTTTGAGCCCAAGGACTTCAAGGTACACTAAAAAGAGTTAGAAAAATCATAGCAGAGGGAAATTCATATATATTGTACATATATATGTGTGTATACATATAATCTGTATGTATGTAGAGATACATTTTCATAAAATTAAAAACTACATATTCAGAGTCCTTTTCCTGTTCTTCAAAGTTTTAGAGGCTATCATAGAATATTTGAAAACTGTAAGAAGTGGCAAGTATCAGAATAAAAAGCATTGATTCAGGGAGTCAGACTTGCCTTGGTCCATCCCACCGATACGATGAATGACGGCCTTGATTAAATATCTTCTCCAGGCCTCCTTTTCCTCACCTGTTAAAAGGGTGGGGAAGAGATACTAACACCTAGCTTTATGGAATCTTGTGAACAATCTCCCTTTTCCCACCTTTTACTTAAGGTACAGGGCTTTAAATTCTTTATTTACTACAATAGAAGACCCTCAAATGATATTGAATAAAAATACCTGGCTTGAAAAACTCATATTTGGAAAGGCCCATTTTTATTTCCCTCCTTTTAAACAGATGTATTCTTGGCTGGGCATGCATGCACTCAGGAGGCTGAGGCAGGAGGATTGTTGTGAGTTTGAGACCAGCCTGGACTGCATAGTGAGTTCCAGGTCAGTCTCAACTACACAATGAGACTCTGTCTCAAAGCAAACAAACAAAATGAGACAAATGAACAGATGTATTCTCTATTCATTATAATAGGTCCTCAGATGAGGCTGGATTATTGTCAGAGCATGTCACATCACGTATTACAGTGAAAATGTCTGAATGAGAAAAATGTTTCTAAATCGGATATAGTTGGAATTGATAGCTAAATGAAACAGATTCCCAGTATGTCAGGATTGTCTGCCCTACCTCCTAACCACACACACACAGTTCAAATGGGGTGATATGGAACTTATGGATACAGGAATTTTTCCCTCCATGATGGACAAGGAAATTGGCTAAAATTTGAACATACAGCATCAGAAATCTTATTAATATACACTTTATTTTGTATTCTTTTAGTATAAACTATTGTAATGCTAAGTGAAATTTTATTTTTTTAGCATTGTAATGAATTGAAATCCCTTCTCTGAGAAGGAATTCTCTTACCTAAATAAGATTTTTTTTTTTTAATTGAGAAAGGAGTTATAATACTTGCTCCTGGATATATTCCTTTAGTTGTTATCAAAAGGAAGGGTAGTTCCTTATTGGTCTTATCAGCGTATTCATTACTAAATGAATGAATTTTTTAAAAGATGTATTCACATCTCCTATAATCTAAACGTTAGACAAGAGAGGATCTGAATTTTAAGTGTCAAATCACTTTATTTCTAGTATGAGGAGTGTCTAGCATGGCTTTTCTGATATAAAAAGTGGGAATGTGAAATTTGGATAATGTTCTACTTGCATGATTATAAAATAATACTGCTCTTATATAAAGTTGTGAGTGCTTTTGTGTTACTTGCTGTGTATATCATTCTTTTCTATTTGGCTGTTATGCTGTTGCTGTATCTTAGCTTTGGTCTTATAATCATCACACTGAGTATAATTAAGCTAGAATTATTTTTCAGAAAGATAGAAAAAAACTTCCTGTTTTATCATAAAATAATACAGATTCACAGCTTAACACAAGGACTAGTTTTAGTTTACACTTTAAGGGACACTGTCAAAAGTTTTATTCACTGTATTTTTCTTTTTCTCATCTTAGGAGAACTTAGATGATCTAAAAGCAAGTTCAACATGAAAACCAAGTTAAATCCTAGATACACATTAGAAAAGTTCCTTTATGTAGGTCAGTGGTGTACATTTGGAAGACTGGTCCACTGAAAATTTACTAAAGCTCCTAGAGCAGGCACCAGCTGCGCCCTTTCCTCAGTTGGAAGGAGGATTCAAAATGCTGCTACGATTCAGTTCTTTGCTGGTTAGGAATTGCTCTCCCTTACTATATCTGTTACAATTATTTATCTGATTCACCAATATTAAAAAAGTAACATTTCAACAAGATAGTTTGTGTATTAGAATGTTATTTAAATATTGTTAGTTGAATTGTGTTTATTCTTAGAAGGGGCTTATTTTATCATTTTTCCTGAGCAGATAGTATAATCTGTGAGTAAAGAGAATAAGAAAATGACGTATGAGTAATTGACATTTTGGATGAATATATAACATAGAAGTCCTAGAAACATAGTCACAATTGGCATAGTATTTGTTGTTTGAAATTTTGCTTTTAAATGAGTAATTCCTGTTCCCTAACTGTTCATTTACTATCGCAGTTTACATTTTTATAACAAAGAAATACTCTGTTAAGAGACCATCTATTTACTCAGAAATTCCAGTGTACAAGTTAATGTTCAGATACAGTAGCCTTGGACTTCCTTTCCTTTTGCCACTAGATCTAATTACAAAACATGCTATTTGAAAGGTATTAAAGCATACTTATAGAAAGTGGGGCTTGAATGAAGTTTCTAACTTTGCCAAATACCTTTCTAATATACTTTTATATTATATGTGTCAATTGCCAGTGTAAGAAGACAAAATGAAATACGATGTGAAAGGTAACCGTATTATTTCTGGTTCTGCATTGTAAAAGGGAAATCTCTGGTGGACTATGTTAAAAATGGCAGACCCATTTGAACATACTAGTACATGTTAAATAAAACACTTTAGGAAGATACAGCAGTGGCTTCATGTAGCTAACTGTTCCCATGTTTGTGATGACTATTTCATTAATTTCACAAAGTAAATGTTAGTGCAATGAGTTTAAACCCTTTCTCAAATATATGCAATTTCTCAGTATTCTCTACTTGACAGAGTAAGTCAAGCATAGCTCCACCAAAGTCTCTGAATCCCTTACCCTGTAGGCCAGTAGTGGCCAACCTGTGGGTGCCACAGTGGGCTGTTTGTGTCTTTGAAAGTTCTAAAAGGTTCACCATCACTGCTTCTAGACTCTAGAAGTACCATTAAGCACTGGTTTTACATTTAGGACATCTGGAAACTAAATGTTGAAATTTTCTAGTATAAATTGAATTGTCATAAACAAGTGGTTTGTGTTCTACAACTGTTACAAAAGAAATTAGTACTTTTGGTATTAAACGTCTACTGTGGTTATTGCCTTGAGCTTATATTTGAGTGAAATTTGATCAGTTACCTTGAGAATGAGACATTCCAAATTGAATTTAATAATTCTTGAAATCCTTACTTGGATCCTGTACCTCAGTCTCCTTTCCATGGCTAGTAAATATTGCTGATTATTTGGGGAGCAGCTTTGTTTTCTGATTTTTAACCAATTTTATTGGAAAGGTTACTGCTTATCTAACTAGAGAATTAATTGTCCTCTGGCACCATAATACGCAGCGGGTCGAGTGGAAAGCCCCACGAAGTTTTCCAGTGCACCTTGGCTGTCATTCCAGCAGCCCTGTATGTCTCTCCTGGTTGTCTCAAAATCATACTCACATTGGAACGCGCTTCCTGTGATGTCCATAGCATGTCCCCTGTTCTCAGCTCCAGAATTGAGGTTCAGGTGTGGATGAGACACAGCTACATTAAGACATCAGACAGTAGTCAAAATTAACATGGGGTGAGCAGGGCGGGGTGAAGGAATCATGGGAAATGCGAGTCTCTAAATTCATAGGTTTTGAGATCAAGCTTTGAATGAGCAAGCACAATCATGCAGGTGCTACTAAAAGGTTCTTGACACGCTTTTAAAGTTGCCAGCGATGTTTGTTTGTCAACTAGAAGAGAGAAATACATTGTAAACATACTTGTCTGTTGTCTTAAATTTCATAGAGTATAAGCACTAAAAAGAATTAGATATCGGTGCTGTCTTGTCACATATTTCCTTTATATTTCAATCAACTGTGAAATGTAAAAATCATTTTATGACTCAAAATGGAGGATATATGAGGCAAATATCTTTCAAAGTATTTGAGAGATAATATTGTATTGAAGCATACAATATAATTTTATTTGACATTTATTTGTCTTTTTTTGCTTTTCTTACTTCTCTGTTTCTTGATTCTGTCTTGTACCTTCTCCTGCAAAAATCTGCCTTAGACCTGTGTTGCGTGGTGGGTCTGCTGCCGCCACTTCTAATCCTCATCATGACAACATCAGGTAACTTTTGAGACTTTGTAATTTGAATTTGTGTTTTTCAGGGCATAATGCACGTTGTGTTATAACTTGAACTTATATTGCTTTCCCTTCTTAGTAACTCTTCTGCTTCTTTCCAAAAACAAGGAGTCTGATCAGTCATGATATCTGGCCACTAGTACATGAGGAAAAATGCTTAATAATTGTGGGATAGCATGAAATGACATTGAGACATTTCAGAATAAGTTTTAGTAGTTTATAGGAGGTCATATTAAACACAAAATAATCTCACATCTTGTTTATGTACATTGTTTGAATTGTTAGCTTCTATCTAGCATTTCCTTTTTAGTTTTTAATTATCTATAATATCACTTTCAGTGCCTGGATATTCCTATCTGAAATGCGTTGTCTTGAGTTGGGAAAAATTGGCATTGACATCCCCTATAGTTTGTGAAGTTGAACATTTAGAAAGGAAATTTAGTTTTAAGGATTTTTATCACCTGTCAATTTTAGCCCTTCTCTTTTATTTTTCCCCTTTTCACAATTCAGTCATGCTTCACCTGAATAATTTTTCTGGTCATGTACAGGGTAGATAAAAAGGCATGCACAAACCTTTAAGGTCTCCAGTGCCAAAATCTCCATTTAGTTTTCCTTTGTTCAGGAAAAACAAAAGCAAAAACTGGTATTACAGATGCTGTTACTCTAATTTTTTTAGAACCAGTTAGTTTCAAACAAATGCACTGTCTGCAGCAGTAAATTTAAAACTGAAGGCTGGGGACGTAGCTCAGTGGTGCTGCTGCTAGCCTCGCAAGCACAAGGTCCTGAGTTTGATCCCCAGTACCAAAAAAAGTGGGGGAAAATAAGACTGAAAACACTGTCTGTTGAGCAAAAGAGGCTGGCACTTTCCAAAGCAAGCAAAGGGAAAACATTACTTTCTTATTAATCCCAAATTCTTGTTGGAAAAATGTGCCCTGGCTACTCTGCTGACTTGGTTCTTTCACAATCATAATTTCATCCAATGCCATTTTCCTGAATGTATTCCAAGATTCTTACTGCTTCATGAAGAGGCAGTGAGTGAAAAAGAAGCTAATTTAGCCACAAAAGGAACATTCACAGATTGCTACAGGTTATCTAATGTCAGTATGCACCATCGATGATTTAAATTCCATTTCGCATGCTTTATTAAAGTATCTAGGGACTATTTTCAACATTGAAGCAGGAGGATTTTTCTGAATAGATTTTTCTGTTATGTGCCCGGAAGAAAAATGTGATTATACTTCATATCCCTTTTGTAGGTAAAGTGGTTTTGGTAATGAAGACTTGCTGGGGATATTAGAATAGATGATCCATGTACCAACTCTCTGAATTGCATAGGAGTACCTTTCAATTCAGTTTATTTATATTCTAGGAAAAGTTACTGTGACATTCATTTTACTGAAATAACCGTTCAGGACATAAAATAGAAAGTGAATGGAATGTATGGTATATGAACTTTATCTCAGTGGAATTGTTAATTAAAATAAAATTTAAAATGTGGAAATCCGGGGAAAGGGTAGGATTGGCATTTGTATGTATTTGTTTTTTGGAAGTGTATGGTCATTCCTCTAAAAACCAGTGTCCTTTTGGAAGTAACTCTGTTTGAACAAAAATTACTATTTAATATGCTTTTTCTGGATTGTCTTAAGTGGTTTTCCAGTTTTGGTGTTTTGGTTTTTTTGGTACCAGGGATCGAACTCAGGACCTTACTTGCGAGGCAGGTGGCAGAAACACTGAGCTAAATCCCCGGCCCTATTACTATTATTTTATCCAAAGCCTTATAATTATTTATCTTTGAGTCAGTTCTGTATCTATATGTAGAGGCAAGATATAGTCAGGAGATTTTACAATTGCTTCTCTGGAAGAAACAGTAGAGAATCAGTAACTGGAAATAAGAGTAAGAATGGTCAGAGAAGAGGTAGTGAGATAAAGAGAAATAAACTATCAGTCTGTTTGTTTCTCGCTTTGTGTTCCCTGCTGGTGAGTCGCTGCCTGTGGGACTGCATGTGCATGGATGTAGGTCTGTGTAAGAAGTGTACGTGGACAGAGAAAGGCAGCTCTGAAGCCTTTTCAGCCAGGGATCCTTTTTAATGTGGCCAGTCTCCCCGGTTTGAAACTTTGTCTATTTGTATCTTTAGTTAGGGTTTCTTCTCATTCTTGGAGTCTCAGTATACTTTCCCAGGATCGTAGATAATTGTCATCTTAAGCTTTTTCCTTTCCTTCATTAATGTTAATTCAGATGGTAAAATATTTTGGTGATTTATATTGATAAAATCCAGTCTTTAGAATACGTCTTTGAGCATTACAGATTACCTGACTTCCAGTTACTCTTAGTTCTATTTTAATATCAACTTGTATTTTGTAATGTCTTATTTGCTAGGTACGGCATTTCAAATATAGACCCGACAATGGAGGGAGTGGCAGATGACATGAATGTTGTTGATGCAGCTTCATTAAGACGACAGGTATTTAACATGGCACATGTAATTCTAAATTCTGTTCATTTTAAAGTGATGGTTCATAACATTGTAGCATCTCTGCTGTTGAACCCATGAATTAAACTATTTACCTGTCAAACTTTTTAATAAACCATAATTTATTTTCCCACCTTAAAGATCCATTAACCACCATGTACATAATTTTGTTTGTTTGTTTGTTTGGGTTTTTTGTTTTTGTTTTTGTTTTTTTGGTACCGGGGATCAACCTCAGGACCTTTGGCTTGCACGGCGGGCAGTGGAACCACTGAGCTAAATTCCTTGCCCCCATCTACATAATTTTGATCAGCATAAAACAGTATTACTAAAATGGGTTGCTATAGTTCTGGCCAGTAACAGAGAACCTTGACATGTTAGGAACCCAATTGTTTCTTTGGCTTTTGATATGTGAACCAATCATTTCAAAATTTCTGTTACTATGTCTAATGATCAGTTTTGAAAATCTCCATGTTTAGTATGTGCAGTCTCCCCCTCCCCCTCTTCCCCTCTCTTGCATTCTGTAGTTAAGCCCTGTCTTGGAATTACAATTGCATGTGCATATTTTAATATATATTCCTAGAGCCTTTATAATCACAAACACACATGTGAGGAAAATATATTTTGTCTTCTCATTGTGTCTGCTAAATAGATGTAGAGGGAGATTGAGTGTAATGAAATGAAGTTTTTCTGGGCTGAGGATTTAGCTCAGTGGCACTGTGCCTGCCCTGCAAGCACAAGGTCCTGAGTTCAATCCCCAATACCCCCCACCAAAAAAAAGAAATGAAGTTTTTCTAAGTAAAGATCAGTAAGAGAACATGGGCTTAAGCAAGGCAATTTTTTAGCCCAGAGCTGTTCTTAGCTGAAGGAGGATGCTATCAGCCAGGGCTGTTTGTAGCGGCTGGGAAGTCTTCAGTCTTTCAGATCCGGGTCATCTGGGTGGTGGCACACCACAGGGCCTGCTCTAATAGATTCATTGCACTCAGCACCTCCTCGTGGACAGAGAAGACCGTTACACCAAGCTGAAGATAAGCAGCTGAGGCTGACCGTGAAGCTCATGGGAGGGCCATTGAAAGGGGCAAGAGTCCCATATTCTGTCTGAGGGGGTAAGCTCTGTAACACTGTCCTCTCATGGTCTAATCAAGGAAGGAAGGAAGGAAAGAAGGGTAGCCTTTCTAGTTTACAAACGTGAAGGAAGGGAAGTGGAAAAGAGCATTTAAGTGAATTTACATTCTCACAAGGAACTTTTTTTTCCAATTTGTGGTTGTGTTCATTTTGCTCCAAATGAAACTTGCCGTGTTATAATAATTCTTTTGATAATTTATTACATTACCTTTTTTTAGCTTGCTTTATTTATTCATTCATTCATTCATTCATTGAAATTTAATTTATTGGTGCATTCTAGGTAGACAGTACAGTTACATTCATTACTGGGATCTTGTACCTTTACTTGCCAGGTCTTGGTTCTCATTTTTTCCCCTTGTCCCCACCCTCCCTTCACCCTCCCCTCCCCCCCTTCAAACACTTTAATTCCATTTTTACATTTTCTTATATTTTTTTCCTTTTCCCTTATTCCCCCTTCCCTATCTTCTCACTGTACCTACACCTTTGGTCCTTTTCTTCGTATTTGCTAATTTTCCCATTACATTACTTCTTAAGAATCTGATTGCTGTATGCATTAAAGTTTCTATTTTTTATTTTGTGTTTGACTTTTATGTAGATAATCAAACTAAATAGACGTCTGCAACTTCTGGAAGAGGAAAACAAAGAACGTGCTAAACGAGAAATGGTCATGTATTCAATTACTGTTGCATTCTGGCTGCTTAATAGCTGGCTCTGGTTTCGCCGCTAGAGGGTAACCTCAGCACTCGAGTATATTGTCTCACCTGCTGGAAATATAAAGGGTTTACAAACATCTTTGTTTTTGTCTGTGTTGTATACTGTTTTATAGTCCATGCCCTAAACAATGTATTTCTTCCAGAAAGTAGGGAAAAGGACCTATATTTATAGAAGTAAAGGTATATTCTGTCCCTCACCTGTATTCCCATTAAGCTAGTTCTGCAGTAACACCTTACATAAAATTATTTTGCATGTTTTGTAAATAGGCTCTATTTTGTTTTTTTAAAAGAAATTGATTTTTCACCTCATCAGCGTGCACAACTGATTCTTTGAAAGGGAGAGAGAGGGACTGCTTCAAGAATGGATTTAGAAAGGTACCTGTAAAAGAAAAAGTGTTTCATGCTATTTCTCAATGCTCTGGAGCAGTTTTGTTAATAGATGTTTTTGCACTAACTTTCAACATTAACACTTTCGAAGTTATGGTCTGGTACCAGATTTAAGAAAATCAAACCATCTAATATTTCATGATCACCTGTACAAATTAATTCCTAACATTTCATCAGTTTATCTCACATGTGTGTGGTATGTGCATTATTTTCATTTTAGTTTTGCAGATAGTTTTCTATGAAGTACATTTTTACTAAGTCCGTGTGTGAATTTAAAAACTACAAAATAAGGTACAAGTGTGCATTTAATAAACTGTCAGCCAAAGCAGTACTCTCGTCTATGGAAAGAGTCATTGACTGTACGTGCTGTTACCTCCCTGCCACGCTATGTTGTGCACTTGGGGCCTTGAGGTAACAGGCACCCCCTTTCGTGTCTTTACCCTGGTGGGCCCTGTTGTAAGTGGTATTCTCATGTATTATGTCTGTAAAATGGCTCAGATTAAAATACCTCGAGTCATGTATCTTATTTTTCCATCATAGTTACTTGTTAATATATAAATCTCATGAGATTATACACAACAATGAAACCAAGTCCTAGGTATCCTTAGGTTCTCAAAACAATTTTTCCTATTTGGCTCAAAAACAGAATTCAATTAGGTACAACATTCTTCACACATACTCATCTGTCTTTCTACCAAAGCAGGGAGTTCTGGGAAAGGAGTTCATTCCTTAGATACAAGTAGATTTCTTGTTCTATTTATTCTCTGCTCTTTTCTCTGTTTAAAAAAAAAAAATCAGGATAATTCTTCTCTGTACTTAGGTTTGTGGTGAGTTTGATGATTTTTTTTTTTTTTTTTTTTTTTTGGCTCATGGAAGTGTTTCTGGCCATTGACAATATTCTAATGATGCCATGGCTATACTAATTCTAGCTTTACATGTATTGTGATTTATGTGAGCGACCCTCCCAGTTGATAGCACAGAAGTAATTAAAATGATGGATAAAATTGCACCTCTTCTGCTAAACAAGAATAAAAAGGATTTCACAACAGCCCAAACTGGACTGGAAGCCGGAATCTTGGGAGATGAGTACAAAATCTGTTTTCTCCCTAGTGTTTTTTTCACCAAACACTGAAGACTTGGCTTTCTTTAATGGTTCTGTAAAAGCTAGAATTCTTTTCCTTGGTTGGGTTCTGACTAATGGGATATCCGTGGCCAAAGCAGGGACCTCAAACACTGCTGTCTCCATGACAAAGGGACTGAGAAATCTCCTTTATCAAAAGGGGGCAACCAAAACATGCCCTCCTTGACCTCATCACATACCTAAGAGTCCAGGAGCTTGACTCCAACTTCCAAGTCGAACTATTACTCCAACCCACTTCCCCCAGAAGTTACTAATCACTGTTAAGAAAGAAAATATTTTTTGAGGTTAAAAGGACTGAATGCACTCCTGGTCAGGAGAAACAGAGATACTTCTTAGATGTTTGGGTTGAATTTTGATTGATATACAGTTGTAAATATATGATTTTTAACAAGCAAACAATATAGAGTAAGATTGTAGGTGCAGGGAGCAGGGGGAGAAAACGAGGGCTGAAGCATACAGTTAAGAATAGCAAATGTATTATTGTTAGACTATTTTCAGAACTCTAGGGTGTTTGTTTTCTTTCTCCCAGTTCTGGGAATACTTAAGTTGTTTACATTTAAAGGGATGATTTTACGAAAATAGTGTTTTTTTTCAAGAAAGTGTTCCTTTCCTGAGCACATGTCTGTTTTTCAGCTTGGCTATTTTTGGAATTGACGTCGAGTTGTTTTTCTGGGCCTTAAATCTAAAAGTGTTTATCATAAACGTTCTATTGATTACAATGAGTTACCTTAGTGCAAACTTGGATGTGCTCATAGTGAACAAAGACCAAGCAGTTACTGAAGAACAACTCAAACCCTGCTCTTGCAGAGTTGATGGACTAATGGGGGCATTGACATAAGACTCATTACAGTATGAGGGGATTACAAAAACAATTGTACTGCTCTGTGTGGTGGTGTACACCTGTAATCCCAGCAATTGGGAGCTACAGCAGAAGGAGTGACAGAAATTTGAGGCCAGCCTGGGCTATATCGGGAGTTCAAGGGCAACCTGAATTATGCAGTGAGATCCCTGGGCCTTGTATTTGGCTTAGTCAATGCTGTGCCTGCCTCACAAGTGCAAGGTTCTGAGTTTGATCCCTAGATCCTGTCTCAAAATAGCAAACAAAAATTTTTTAAAGGAAGAGTAACTTGCAGTATGTACTACAGGATAGGGAGGGAGTAGAAAGTTTTAGATGACAAAAACTAAAAAATAAAATTGTAAAGATTCCAAAGTGAAATGGAGCTTGGAGATGGGAATGAGAGTAAAGAAACATTGAGACAGTCATCTTGGTATACACCTGTAATCCCAGCTATTCATGAGGTGAGGCAGAAGGATCACAAGTTCTAAGCCAGCCTCAGATCCAGTAAGAACCAGTCTCAGAAAAATAAAAAGGCTCAGTGGTAGAACACTTGCCTAATGTGTGTGAGGCTCTGAATTCAGTGCCCAATACAGCCGGGAAACACACAGCTTTGCAAGTGATTCGGTACATTTTGTGTAGGGTGTAGGGAGGGTGTGATTGTGTGCAGATGTGCATTTGGCCGTTTAGCTACCAGATCAGAGATGATCTGCCCCCAAAAGATACAAGTAGCCCAATAGACTTCAGGTATTTAATTTGTGGAAGCAGTTTCCATAATTCTAAAGAATGAAGAACCCACCAGCCATTTCACCTGATCACGTCACAGCCAGTCCTTTCGTACGTGCTCTGAAATAGACGAAAGTGTCTCTCCCCTGCCCTGCAGAGAACCGGAATCGTATTTCCCACTGCTATGGTAAAACGAAAACTTGTGTTGTTCACTCAAGGACAGTGGACTGTCATATTCATTTTACTTGTTTTAATTTCATGGTAATTAGTATGACCTTTAATAATCAGGGAGTCTTCACTAAAAATTGGATGCTAAGGATACGATTCACCATTGGAAATGTTTACAATGGCTCTATTTTGTAGCAGACTCTGCTACGTCTTGATTGTTCCAGGAATGAATACAAGAAACGTGTCTTTGGATGATGGAATTTAAGATCCTGTGTAGCACAAATGCAAATGCTGTTGCCATTGTGAGAAAAGCTGTGAAGTAGGGAGTAAAGATGGATGTGTGCACACCTGTAACCCCAGCACCAGCAGGCTGAGGGGAGGAGTCATGAGTTCAAGCCCAACCGGGGCAAAAAAGTGACTTAACAAGACCCCGTCTCAAAAATAGGTGTATGATTGGATGGATAAAGTGGGCTGGGGATATATCTCAGTGCAGGGAACCTGGGTTCATCCCCAGAGCCCCCCAAAAACCCCACTTTTCATCAGGTGGTTAAGCATAGTCTCCAAGGGGTAAAAAGTGGTATTTGCACTGAAAAAAAATTCAGCCAGAGGCAAGAAAGGTAGGGTATGGGAGGTAGGGATAGAGAGGAGAGATCTTTTAAGGAGCTTAAGCGGGAAAGTGACTGATGAATAAATGGATGAGGATGTGGCCCCTTGTTCTGTCAAATTCTGTAGTGATGGGTGTATAAAAATACATGCGATGTGTGTTGGGTATGATGATAGTGGCTTTGGTGAGTGCTAACTCAGCTTACTAGAATTAAGTACACTGAGAAGGCTTCCTCAGGTAGGTAGTTAAGCCAGGCATTAAGGGAAATAGGCACGTGTAGGATTGTAGTAAATTAGTAATAAAGGCTCATGACTTCTTGATGTTACTAATTTATTTGGACAGCTATAATGTAATATAAGTTGTTTCTGGAACCTTAAGCCCAACAAACATTTTTTAAAAATTCAAATAAATGCAGAAGTGAGTGCATTCAGAAAAACAAGTTTTTAGTTTTGTCTGTTTTAGAGCATTTTAATATGGCAAATACATGGTTTGGTTATCTTTCAGTGGTTGTCATATATGGAAACGACCTTTTGAAAGACTGACTTTTTCTAAGATAATTTTACTTACTATAAAACTGTTAACAGGGCTGGGGATTTGGCTCAGTGGTTCTGCCACCTACCTCACAAGTGCAAGGGCCCAAGTTCTATCCCCAGTACTAAAAAAACAAAAACTGTTAACATAGGAAAATAGGGTATAATGAACTGCCATACACCTGTCACTGAACTATAACAATGAACACTGTTTCACTTTTGGGGGGACATGGGCTTTGAAGTATTTTAAAAACATGACTACCCCCTCCAGCATATAAATACACATCTTTAAGAGTTAAGGACATTTTCCTTTATAACCATAAGACCATTATCAAACCTAGCAAAATTAATGTCTTAATATCATTTAACCCAATTGTTGTATATGTGTGTCTCAGTTATCCCTTCTAAGATCTGTATAATCCATGTAACTCAAACATGCCCCCACTCATCAGTGTTTTGTTTGTTTGGTTTTTTTAACCAGTAGTGAGGGTGGAACCCAGGATATGTGGATTGAACTGCATCCCCAGCCCTTTTTATTGTGAGGCCAAGGGCTCACCAGCTTGCCCAGGTTGGGCTTGTCTTGCCTCCTGCCTCTGCCTCTGCCTCCCAGAACACTGGGGTTTCACTCATGTACCACTGGGCCTGCTGCTCTTTTTCTCTTCATCTGGAAAAGTTCCATCAGCCCATCCCACCAATTTGATGGATGGAGCTTTTCTGTAACCTTTTCTTAAAAACAGAACTATTCTGTTTACTGTCCCATCTTTTGGACTTGATAATTTCTTCTCCCTACAAGCTGGTAATTAGGTCCAAAGACTTGATTACATTCAGGTTATATCTATTGTTTTCCAAAATATGAAAGAATATAATAAAAACTCGCCATATTATTTGCACTTCCAGGATAACTTCTGTTCTCATTTTTCCCTCCTTTTTAGATCTCTGTCCCTTCACACACATAGAATATATAGTTAGAAAAACTAAACAACACGGAGCAAAAAAAAAAAAAAAAAAAGCTTTTCTTAACTTCTCCCCCAAATCAAGTAGTGAGGGTTTTGTTTCCTCCCACGTGAAGGTGTTACGTGTTTACAGATGACTTCAACAACAACTTTGTGTACTAAAATGACTCACACAGCTTTGTAGATAATGTTCCATTATTGTGCTCCTAAAAGTATTTATTCTCCTAAAAGCAGTGTCATTTTCAAATTATTCAAGGTACCAAGACCTCTGTCTTAGTACCGCTAACCTACACAACTTGGTTCCTTCGCTTAGAGACACCACACAGACAGCCGAGGAAACCAATGACTATCTGACTGAGCCCAAACAGGGCCTCGAGAATCCCAACGAGTAGCAAACCTAAGAACACTGACACGTGGAAGATCCTGTATCTGTCTTCTTCAGAGTTGGAGCTGGGTATTTTCCAGCTATTGGCCATATCATTGTTGGCATTGAGGTTTGTGGAACCAGTAGGAGACACACAGGAATCATTCCAGAACCATTGCAGAAAGACGGGTTGTAAATGAATGTTGCTGCAAAACAAAAGAAATGGAAAATATTATGCCCAGATCAGGTGAGGAACGGTCAAACAATGAACTTTTGAAATACTGTACCCAGGGAGAGGAATGTATGTAGCTCAGTGGTTCCGCTACCCGCCTCGCAAGCGCAAGGACCCGAGTTTGATCCCCAGTACCAAAACAACAACAACGAAAGAAATATTGTGCCCAGCAGCTATAGCTAAGACCAGGCTTTCTAAGCAGGTATCTAGTTATTTTTATTTTACCCCCCCCAATAGCTGGGATTGCAGGTAGATAAATCCATACCCAAAAGCATTCTGGAGGTTATGATTCCTTTGTTTCTGTCAGATTGTGCCTTTGGGGATTAACAAACTGAATCCCTAAGAATGTTTGTCCCAGTAATTGCCTCAAGGAAAAACATGGATTGTTTGCATATTGTGTTATCTACTGCGGCTGCAGCTGTGTAGGACACTAAGACAATGAAGGTCCGTTTACTTACGTTAAGTTTTTCAAGGAAAATTCACAGTTGGCAGTACCATTGACTCGAGAGCTACAGATAAGAGGACCTTCAGAGAGAGCCTGGATAGATACCAGCATGCAGTACGCGGCGCCAACGACTGTGATTACGTTCAAAAGTGATGAAAGAAACATCTGGAAAATGAAGTAGAGCCGTTGGCACACATTACTTCCTGGCCTCGGTGTGTTCCGAGTCTCAGCGGTGCTTGCAGTCTTTTTATCAACCGCCATCACTCTGTAGTCCTCGATCTTAAGACCACAGTCAGGTTAGGTGTAAAGGGGCAGAGGGCAGCATCTCTGCCACTTCCTTACACTCCTCGAAAGAGGGTTGACCTTGCCGCTGTCTGAAAAATCTCAACCTTGTTCGTCTCACCTGACCACTGAGCTCTGATTTCTGCTCCTCATTTTGTGTATTTCCTACTTTGCAGAAACTCAGGGAGACCTCCGTTGCCCACACTTTGATGTCTCATCTCTTGGATCCCCGGGCTTCAATCTACACTTGGCCTTGATGCCCTAAGCATCCTGCAGCACAGGTTAGCGCAGGGCTGCACTGACAGGGCTTCTTGCTGTCCGCCCTGTCCCATGCAGTATGTGATACCGGGCAACACTCATCCCTACCCAAGAGACGCTAAGACCCCTCCTCCCTAGTCCCGCACGACACCGACAAGGTCTCCAGACAGTGCCAAGTGTCCCTTTGGGGTGGAGGCAGGGCTTTTGTTGCCCATGGTTGAGAACTGTGTTGGAGGGGAAGGTTGTAGGCATGTTTTATTTCATGAGTCAGAGTCACGAAAACAGAACAAAGCATGGAGTTTGGCAGAGAAAGTGAGAGTTAATGTGCATTTTTTTTTTCAAAAACTTGTTTTGTTGAGGTTGTTAGTGATGGTTATGAATATTTCAAAGTGAGAAGAAGGGAAGCAAGAGTACTTCTCCTTTGATAGAACATTTCTGCCTTCAGCAGTATATATGTGCTGTGCTCTTCAGAGCTCCTTTAATGAACAGAGCAAAAGTGGCTGCCTATTCAGTGGTGTTGAGGGACCCCGGACTTTATATTATCTCATTTAACCATTTGACCGACCCCGAGAGAGATACTACTACATTCCCACTTTATGGAAGAGAAAACTGCAGCTTGGGGAAGTTGACAAACTCAGGGTCTCAGCTAGGAAACACTGGAACATGTTTTTGGTTTGTTTTTTTGTTTTTGCGGGGCTCACAATACAACACTCTTAGCTCTCTAAGCACAAAATGAAGAACTTAGAATTGAATTCAAATCCTAACTCTCCCATACTCCTATTGTTAGGGAATTGATCATGTTAAAGTATACTGTGATGCCGCCTCACAGTCTGCATTCTCCTGGTACACCTTGGCTCCTAAAATGACCTCATGCCCTTATCTCTGGTTTCTCTCCCCACCAAGGCCACAGTGGTCCAGGAAAGTTGAAACCTGTGTCTGCAGGACTGGGCCCATAAAAGCAATCTGGCCTGTGATAGGTTAAAAGTAACTCACTCCTCCTAAATAAGCAATAGCCCACCCCAAAACTGATAAAAGGACCTTCCTTTCTTTGTTCTTCTCTCTCCTTCTGCTTCTTCTTCCTCCTCTCTCTCTCTCTCTCTCTCTCTCTCTCTCTGCTTTCCTGCCTCCTGCTCGCCTCCCTACAATAAAGATCTCCTGCCGGACCTCTCGGTGCGTGAGTGGCCTAATTGGGAAGGGGCACCCAAAAGGGCACGCGGACCCCCTTTCACCTATGATCTGCACATGTTACTTAAATGTATTCACCAAGAAGTGCCACTTTGTTTACTTTCTGATCTTTTGTTATTTCTACTTCCTACAAAGGGGAACAACTACAGAAAGTGATTCTGGGCATCTATATTTTCATAAGAGTGGGAATTCACCTAAATGATTAGGCCAAACCCATTTTGTATACAGAAAAGAACTAGAGAGAGGGAAAGATACCAAGAAACTATTATAATAGGGGAAATGGAATAGTTGCAGTAGAAAACAAGCTCTGGTGACCCCTTTCCTGTCCTCTCAGGATTTGGACTTTGTCACTTTTATGATGCCTTAGTCTTATCTAGACTTAGAAGATACCAAGTTCGACTTAAGCATAAGCCCTCACCTGGCTAACAACAAATGAATAAAATTGCTCGGATGGCAATTTGAATGGGCAATTGTGACTGAAGTAGCTAGTGCCATTATTACCACAGCATAAGCAATATTACCCATTGTGACAGTATCCCCTGGACACCCTCCACTTGGAATCATCTGAGTTTGCTGAAGCATGGCTGGATTCTTTGCAAGGTTGGTATCGAAGAGCACAACCACCTACTGTACTGAGTTAAGTCCAAAACATACATAGAAAGTGGCATCATTATTCCTGCCTCACTGTGTCTTCAAAGGAGATAGAATTTAAGAGATCATTAAAAAAAGAATCACTTGTTCATCAAGAGTATATGCGAAACAGGGGCCTGGGATTTCGCTCAATTGTTCCACCACCTGACTCACAAGCACAAGGTCCTACTCCTACAGAGTTTAATCCCTGGTACTGAAAACAAAAAAACAAAACAAAAATAGGCAAAATGAATGCAAGAGAAACCACCCACAGAGCTAAGAGACAACCTACAATGTGGGAAAAAAATTTTACCAGCTACTCCTCAGACAAAGGACTACTAGCTGGAATATATAAAGAACTCAAAAAAATCAGGCCCCCAAATACAAAGACCTGATTCAGAAATGGGCATCTGAAAAGATCAGACATTTCTCAAGTAAAAGCAGCAAATAAATGTATGAAAAAATGTTCCACATCACTGGTCATTTGAGAGAAGCAGATGAAAACAACACTGAGATTCCACCTTACACCAGAAAGAATAACTGCTATCAAGAAATCAGCCAGTAACAAATGCTGGGGCTGTGGAAAGAAAGGAACCCTCTCCATTGTTGGTGGGAGTGCAGACTAGTGAAACCACTGTGGAAATCAATATGGAGATACCTCAAAGAACTAGGATAGAGGTCCCATTTAATCCAGCTGTCTACTGGGTATCTCTCCAAAGAATTAAAAAAATCATACCACAGTGATATATGTGCACCCATGTTTATAGCAGCACAGTTTGTAATAGCTAAAACTTGGAAACAACCCAACTGGATAAAGAAGATGTGGTTCTTCTATAAAATGGAGTACTACTCAGCCATAAAGAATGAGAAACTAGAGACATTTATTGCTAATTTTTGCACATTGAGTCCATACTCAAGTGAAATAAGTAGGACATACTTGAGTAAATACTGAATAGTTTCTCTGATGTGAAAAACTAAAAGTGTAAGTAAGATTGAAATGGCATAACTGGGAGTGTGAAATAGGAAGAAAATGGCTAAAGCAGAAGTTGGAAAAGGAGGGGAAAGGAAATAAGGTAAAATTAAAAATGTGAAAAAAGGAAAAAATGGAAACAAAGTCTTTGTAAATAGGGAAAGGTGGAGAGGGTGAAGGGAGAGCAGGGGAATGGGGAAAAAATAAGAACCAAGACATATCATGTAAAGGTACCAGATTCCAATGATAAATGTAACTATATTGTTTGCTTTAACTGTACCAATAAACTTAATGGGGGAGTATATGCAAAAAATAAAGGTTTGTAATGGAAGTATGACTTGAGCAAAACATGGGTGCTTTGATATTTTTTGAATCCAAGGGTTCAGAAGTATATCAAGATATCTTTTGCAGGAATGTTGTGAATACAAGATAGAAATGGTGCAGAGCCAGTCTCCTAATTATCAGTGTAGGAAGTGATGTGCAGGACAAACTGGGAATTAATATTCATTGAATACAATGTGTCAGAAACAGACTGGAAATATTTCAAAAAGTATTGTAATCCTAGATAAGAATCAAATGTCCGAGCAGGCAATATTAAAACAAAACAATACAGATCTTTTGTCCTTTAAGACACTAACTCTTAGGCCGGGGATTTAGCTCAGTGGTTCTGCCTCCTGCCTCTCAAGCACAAGGACCTGAGTTTGATCCCCAGTACCAAAAACAAAACAAAAGACACTAACTCTTGGGCCAGGGAATGGCTCAGCGGTACTGTGTTTAGTTAGCAAGCCCAAGGCCCTGGGTTTGATCCCAGCCCTGGAAATAAAAATACAGAATGATTTATAACCCCAGCAGCACACTGAAATCACCTTGGATGCTTTTGAAAGACACTGATGCAGAGTCTGTGGGAAGGAGGTCACCAAAGCATTGATATTTTTTTAAATCTCCCCTGATTGTGTGAATGTTCTCGTCTTACTGGGCACCATTGCTTTAAAACCCTTAGATCTTCCCACTTCAGCCTGATATATTTACTGTGACTGCTTGTTATTGATCTAACCCCCTCCTTGAAGAATTAGAAGAGCTACTTAAAAGCAAGTTTCGTGGTGTAAATAGTGTGAAGATTGTGAACTTTGGAGCCTGGTGCATTGGGGAAAATAACCACTTTGTAGTTGTGCTACACTGGGAAATAACTCGATTTTTCTGAGCATCAGTTTCTTGGTCAAGAAAATCCTAGAGCTCACTTTTCCCACCTAAGAGTTTGAGAGGATTAAATAACACTGATGCCATACCTGAAAGTGTTCTGAGCAGAGTAACAGGTTAATAACTGTTAATGTACTCTTAGTTACGACTTTATTAGAAATAGGTAGGTCTTAAAATGTTTGAAAAGTAACTGACAACTCTTTTTACTTAACTGGATAAGGACAGTTACCATTCTGAGCCTAGCAAGCCAGCCTTTTGTATTCATGGAGCTGAAGATGGGTTTCTGTTTTGCCCACACCACAAAATGAGCACATATTGAAGTATTAGGAAATTATGAAATCTGCAGCTGTGGTGCGACTTATAAATCTTTCTTTGAAAACCTTTGAGCAGACTAAAGAAAGAACTGAAGCTAGCTCCAAACTAAGGTTTTTATGAGAAATGAAAAAGAATGTCCTCACTTTTCATATGATCATGTGATCAGGATGTTTTTGACCCTGCTGTGCCTCCGTAGGTGCTGAGGACTCAGGGTGGCAGCTTAGCTAAAATAGCAACGGTTAATGTGCTTCCACTTCCAATCCGACCGCTGCACACTCACCCCAGTTTTGTTGTTGCAGCACCCTCGCTTCCTGGCTGCCAAGGACATCGTAGTTGCTGGAATGACCTGGAAATTGCATTACAGGAAAGATGAGTATTAAGACTTCTCGTCAGATGAAAAAGCAGTAATCTCTGTCTCCGGTTTGTCACCAGTTGTGGGAAACCAAACCTCAAGAGAATGAGAGAAGAAACTTAACAACATCCTTATCTTAACTTTGTGGTCTCAATTTCAACCATAAAGATTAAAAGGAGGAAAAAAAAAAGAATAAGATAAGACTACAAGAGCAAGAAGCAATTTAAATATGTTCAGGGACCATTTTCATCTCCAGAATTAAGGATTATTTTAATGTTACATCATTGCCTTTTCTGTTTTACTTTCCTTTTTAGTTTTATTTTAGGATTCCCTATTTTTTATGTTCATACAGAGATTTCTTTAACTGAAATACTGAATAGTTTCTTTGGTGTGAAAAACTATAATAGTACGCAGGATCCTAATGAGATAATTAATAATGTGAAATAGAAATAGGAAGTAAAGGGCTAAATGTGTAGGGAAAGTGGGAAGGGTGGGGGAAAGGTAATAAGGGAGAGAAAAAAATATGAGAAACTGAAAAAATGGAAATAAAGTGTTTGTAAATGGGGAGGGGAGGAGGTGGTGAAGGGAGGGCAGGGACAAGGGGAAAAAATGAGAATCAAGACCTATTATGTAAAGGTACAGAATCCCAATGATGAATGTAACTGTACTGTATACCTAGACTGTACCGATAAACTCAATAAAAAGAAGGAAAAAAAGGAGGAATAAGTTTCAAGTTAGCACTTGTAAAGTGTCTCCTCTGCATTCAGGGTTTACTCTGAATCGTCTGGAGAGAGACTTGGATTTTAAATAGGACGGGTTATTTGTGCACTATTTTGGAAGGAATGTCCCTGGAAGAATTGGTTGCATCATCCAAATTTTGTTTTTCTTCCCCTCCTCCCCCCTCATTATCACAACCTAGTATGAGTGAGTTTTGCAGTGTCCTGCAAACTATGCTTTACTTTAGCAAGGCTTCAGGAAAGAAACTGATGGTTTTGCTTCCCTGTGAGTTGACAAGGATTCTAGGATGTGATGAAAAACACAGTCATGTTTTTAATTTTTAAAAATTACAATAAAAGACACAGTGCTTCTAATGGCCCTCAAAATACCCCCCTCACTTGAAAACACACTTATCCCAACACACTTATTGCCACTTTCGGAAGCAGTTTGCAATTCCTCTTTCATGAGCATCTGTGATCACAAATTCAGTGGATGCTGCCCCTGAGTACCATCAAATGGAAAGGCAGGCTTGCAAAAACATTGTGGGGTGTCCTCATCCGTCTTATTCTCTGGACCTAGCACTGTGTGACTTCTGGCTCTTCCCCAAAGCCAAAATGATCATTAAACATAAATGCTTTGAATCAATTCAGGACAACGAGGCATCCACAACAGCCCAACTAAAGACCCATCTGAAAAATGACTTCCAGAACTGCTTCAGAAAGTGTAAGAATGATCGGGTAGGGCTGGGGATTTAGCTCAGTGGTTCCGCCGCCTGCCTAGCAAACAAAGACTTGAGTTCGATCTCTGGTACAGAAGAGAGAGAGACAGACAGACAGACAGACAGACAATGATGGGATAAATGTGATGGAAGAGAGGGATATTTTGAGGGGGCTTCATGGTAATGTGTCTTTTGGTACTGGGGATTGAACTTGGGACCTTGCGCTTGCAAAGCAGGCAGCGGTACCACTGAGCTAAATCCCCGGCTATGTGTCTTTTACTGTAGTATTTTTTTTTTAATTTTTCTATGAGCAGTCACTGTATTCGTATTTGTTTGTTTTTGTTTTTTTGGCACTAGGAATCGAACTCAGGTCCTTGCGTTTGCAAGGCAGGTGGCAGCACCACTGAGCTAAATCCCCGGCCTACTGTATTCTTTAATATCCCTTGATCACCACTCCCTGCATTTCCCTAACTTTCTTCTACTGAGGTTAGTACCATCTATCTCATCTCTCTAAGCCCATATTTGAAAATTATTTTTAGTCCCACATTCCTTTTCCTCCTCCTGTAATTCATAATTTGTAATGCCTTTACTTTACACTGACATTTACAGTCTTACATATATTGCATTCTCTGTTCGAAGAAAGATTACGGACACTCCCATCTGCGACCAAGTGTGGGTCCTGAGACTTGGTCGGTAATTGTTCACTAAATGAGGAATTGTATGTAGTATGTACACTAGAGGATGCAGAACAAAGAAATGGCCAAAGGAGACTCCAACTTGATGACTGTGCTTTCATTTGCATAACTCTCACATGCAGTTGTGTCATGTCTAACAGAATTTAAAACTACAGTGCTTATAAACTGGGTGTGGTGGCGCATGCCTGTAATCCCAGCACTTGGGAGGCTGAGGCAGGAGGATCGCTGTGAGTTCGAGACCAACCTGGGCTACATAGTGAGTTCCAGGTCAGTCTCTACTACATAGTGAGACCCTATCTCAAAAAACTGAAAAAAACAAAAACTACAGTGCTTATAAACAAGGTTTACTGTACCAAAAACAAAAAAAGAAGAAGAAGACCTTGAGGCTTTATCAACAAGCTATACAGAGGGCCAGGGATTTAGCTCAATGGTTCCGCCGCCTGCCTTGCAAGCGCAAGGACCTGAGTTCGATCTCCAGTACCAAAAACAAAACAAAATGTATAGAACTATGTTCCCCCAAATGATAGTCCTAATCCTGAATGTAAGTCTGCACAGTTATTAAACAGGTAGATCATTAAGTGAGGGATGTCTATATTGATGAGGAACGCTGTAAGAAATGACATTGTATTGTAGAACTTAGAATTTCATTCTCATTTAGTCAGCAGCTATGGCTAGACATTTTAGAAGGAGTTTTGTACTAGAGGAGAGTATAATACAAATGACTTCCTTCCACTTACCAAACTTTAGTTGTAAAGGTGTTTGTAAATCAACCCCACTGCTGCTAAGTGGTTCTCTCCTGCTCATGTTTTCTAACATTTTGCTGAGCTCTGACTACATGCCAGGCCCTGTGATAGGTGCTTTGCATACTCCAGGGCACTCCATCTTCATAACGATCCTATGATGTAGGGACTATTCTATCCCCGTTTCACCCATGAGATAACTGAAGCACAGTTTGAGTAGATTGCCTAACAAAGTGAGAGAGATGAGACTCGAAGCTAGGCATGGACTTCAGAGCCAGGATCTTAACCACTGGTCCACACTGATTCTTAATATTCTCCTCTCTTGGGCCGGGGATTTAGCTCAGTGGTGCTGCCTCCTGCCTTGCAAGTGCAAGGTCCCAAGTTCGAGGCTTGCTACCAAAAAAAAAAATAAATAAATAAATAAAAATTTTTTTTCCTTTAGTTAGCCATGGTAGCACACACTTGTAATTCAGCTGCTTGGAAAGCTGAGGCAGGAGAACTATAAGTTCGAGCCCAGCCTGAGCAACTTAGACCCTGCCTTAAATTAAATTTTAAAAGGGCCAGGAATATAACTTAATGGTAGAGAATTTGCCTGATATGCATGTGGCCCTAAGTTTAATCCCCAACCCCACAAAAAAGAAAAAGAAAAAAACTGGCTTCTTTCTACATAAAATGTATTCATTCTTGTCTTACCACCACTGCCATTGCCCTTCTCAGGGACCTTCTAACTGCCTCTTCCCCGTCCTTTTTTCCAAGACCATATCTACCTCTGTTCTTTCAGAGCAGATTAAGATTTATGCCTTCACAAGGCAATTTTCCTAACAAACTTCAACCCGTGCAATCCTGTGCCGAATCCATACCACTTGTATTGTTAGCAAGCTTCCCTTACACATTTCTCCAAAGACCAACACCCTTACATTTCAGAGGCCGGTGTATATACATGGCTGTTCAGCCATCCAGAAGCATAACTGAAAGCCCAGAAGAATGAGGAAGTAAACCTTAGCTCCCAAACACATTAAACCTCTTTTATTGTATAGGAAAACTACACTGCCTTCTAGAAAAGGAACTGACAAGCTATGTCCCACTGCCTCTTTTTTTGTAAATAAAGTTTTATTGGGACAACATCACTCCCACTTGTTTACAAGTTGTTTGTGGCTACTTTTACACACTAACAGTAGAGTTTGAACCACGGTAGAAGAGACTGGCTCATAAAGTCTAACACATCCACTATCTGGCTCTTTACAGAAAAGTTTACCAGCCCCTGTCTCGGGCAATTAATGAACTAAGATTAATAATAGGACAAGAATGAAAATTGAGGTAGAGGAATTGGAGTATTGTTCCTTTTCCTTTGCAGAAATGCAAACTTTCATCCGGTTTTAGAAGTTAGTTATACATTTTCATGAAGGAGCTTCTAAGGAAGAGCTTTAGCTAATTTGTGATCAAATTCAGACTTTGGGGACCCTCCAAGTACTTGAACATGAGAGTGACATGTAAAGCCATAGCTCATCATAAATATAAATATAAATACTATATTTTACAAATGCCTATTATATAAAATATTTCTAATTTGTTTAACCTCCAACTATTTGTTTTCTGTTAATATTTTAATAATTAGGCCAGGGGTTTGGCTCAGTGTTTCTGCTGCCTACCTCACAAGTGCAAAGTTCTGAGTTCGAGCCCCAGTACCAAAAAAAAAAAACACTTTTTTTTAATAATTGACTTTGATAAATTAGAATTGTGCAATAAGTGAGCTCAGTAAAAGCATGACTAAGATCAGGCTTACAGTTAACAGCATATAAAATAAAATGGCCTGATTATTTTTCATACCTGAGCAAATAACATTTGCAAGGATTTTTTTTTCTCCCACTGAGCTAATAATAAGAGTTGAGGATCATGAACGTACACCTGTACCCTGAACCCTTGTGCCACCCACCTGTTTGCTTAGCGGCATAGCCTATGGTCTTAGGTTCTGTAATTAAAGCGTGCATCATATTTTTCAATGTGTTTAGTGACATCCTTATATTGGTTAATATTTATTGAGGGTGGTAAAGGCAATTTAACTGTGGAACAAGGAAGTCCAGCTTCTCTGAAACTGTTTCACAAGAGTCTATAATAGCCTTTCCGAGATCCAGTTTCCTGCTGGCTTAACTTTATGGATTAAATTAGAGATTGTATCTTTCCCCCCTCTGTCTGGCTGGATCAGGTGTTGAGGATTAAGGTGCTTTACTAGCCTTGAAATCAGATAAATCTAGAACTGGGTTGCACACCCACTGTGTGACTTTGTTAACACTCCCAGCCTTCTAATTTCTGGTCTGTACAGAACAAATTTTATCTACTGAGATTATTGTAATTTCGATGAGATAACAGTGTAATGTATCAACCCAGTAGTTGGCAACTAGCAAGTTGGCAATAAATGAAAGATTTATGTCCCTCTTTTTGTTTTAATGTCTTTGTCTCTTCCCTTCTTCTGCCCCTGTTTCCCAGAAAAAGAATACAAGAGCTGTAGATATGTGTAGCACCACCTCTGGCTTATTTAATGCTAGTAACAAATTTTTATCTAGAGCTACGTGAGTTAATCTAAGTGGATGATCTTAACTTAGAAACTGTTGTGAGCTCTATAGAAATTGCCACCATTAAGTTATTCCCAGACAGCTTCTCCTGACTTCGGCCTGTACCAGACGCAGATCAGCCTCAACCTCAAGCAGAGAGAAGCCTTCTACAGGATGAGGCAGCAGACATGAAGAACTGCAGTTACTTCATACAGTTGAACAATATATTTTCTCTCCATTTGGAAGAGAGCTCTCAGGGGAATGTAAAGACATGGCCCAGAACTTTCCAAAAGCTTTTCTGCTCACTCTTTGCACCTAAAGCAAACGAATAGATTGCTCATAAAGGTAAGGGGGGGAAAAATAACACTATCAACCTTTGAGCGATGCTTCCTGGAATGGCTTTTTGATGCCAAAGTGTTTTTGAATCCAGTTTGCCAGCCAAGGAGAAAGTTGTATCAAAATTTTAATATATAATGGCCTAAGAGTGTCTTTAATGTACATCTGAGGATAAAATCAGTAACAGCATCTGGTTACTATTAAGAATTATTAGGGTCAGGGATTTAGCTCAGTGGTTCTACCACCTGCCCCGCAAACGCAAGGTCCTGAGTTCAATCCCCGGTACCAAAAAACAAAAGAATTAATAATTCTTAATGGCCCTGAATTTTCTTTCTTTTTCTTTTGTGTATGTCTCAAATTTCTTTTAAAGTTACCTATTTGATTCATCATCTCATAAACATTGATAACATCCAGTGTGTACAACTATATCACACACACACACACACACACACACACACACACACACACAATTGAAACAGCAACTCACTCCTCTGCCACCAACTAGACAACCACAGACAGCGCACAAATGGTACAACAAACAAAATCAAGTGTCCTGGATGCTGACTTTCCAACTCCAGCATCCACATCCCCCTTTTACAAATATGGAAATGAAGCCACAGTAGGAGCCGGACTTGGTCACACATGCCTGTAGTCCGAGCTACTCCGGGAGACTGAGGCAGAAAGCTTGCAGGTCTAAGGCCAGACTGAGCAGCTTCGCAACCTTGTCTCAAAATCAAAATTCAAAAAAGAGCTGATGAAGTACTCAGGGGGAGAGCACTTGTCTTGCATGCACAAGGCCCTGGGTTCAATCTCCAGGGCTGCAAAATAGAGCAATAACAACAAGAACAGAACACAACACGGATGATTTACACACAATAATACATACAAGGCAGACCTACAGCTAGATATCCTTCCAGATCTGAAAGCGGTGTTTCACAGCACTTGACTAAAACCATCTCCACAGTGGCCTCTATGCAGTCCTGCTGCATCAGAATTCCTGGGAATAAGTGCAAATGCAACCACTGCAAGTGCCTGGGGTGGCTCGTGACCAGGGACAGTCACTGTACTGCACTGCTCTGTTCTGGATTTCAACAGAAGTAGACCTAGGAATAATGATCAAACTATGAAACACTATGATGAAGAAGTCTTTGAGGTCAGAGCCCCAGAACTTCAGCCTCTATTTTGTTGGCCCACTCTGTTCCGATCCTGGTAATGCTATTGCCATGCTCCCCCTTCCTGTGGTCCAGGCCAGCCAGCGTGCATGGGAGTGTTCCTTATTCCTACAGGGCGCCCCTACTCCTATTGCATTTCCTGCAAATGCTGAGACCGGTATGGGGCCGAGGAAAGTTGAAGACGTGAATTTAAAATGCCTCATGGGGCCGGCAGTGTAGCTCTGATAGACCGTGTGGATCGTGTGCTTAGCGTGCACAAGGCCTTGGGTTTGATCCCTGGTGCCCCGTTAAAAAACTCAGAAAAATAAATGAAAAAAGTCTCTAAGTTTAGAAGAGCCACTCTACATATGAAGAAATATGACAAGTAATAACTCAACAGACTTTTAATCAATTTCTTTTTCTTTTTTTTTCTTTTTGACAAAGCTCAGTAGCTCATACCACAATTTATTTGAATTAAATTACCATTCTCACCGATGACCAGTATATACCCTTACCATACCACTGTGCCTAACAGTATCCTGAGAAAACATAGCTAACTGCAAGGCTGAAAGTCAGTCATTGAGCATTTGACAAAACGGGGAAGCCCCGCTTCAAATCAGGTCAAATCAATATTACTCACCATCAAACCCGCTCCTATAATTCCTGGGAACCACCACTCATAGCAAGAGATGGGGTTTTGAAAAACTTTATCCGCCTCAACTAAGTTGATGCCCAGAGGGATTGCATTGAGAATGACCCCTGCCAGAAGGAGAGCCAGCAGGCTGAAGCCATTGCAGGACGTCCATCCCTCACAGCACGTCATGGTCACCCTGTGGTCAGTGACAGCCCCAACACAGCCGCTGGGCCTGCACCGCGGTGTCTTGCCTTTTATAACAAACATTCTGGTTAACGTTTAGCGTTCATCACTGATGAAAAATGGATTACGAGAAAGGGGTTCAGAGTCCAACAGGGCAGGGCATGAATTATGAGCATTATGACGGAAACAAGGATCATTTTGTATTTTGATAAGGTGAAGGAAGGCAGGAAAAAAAATCTATGGTTGCTGTGAGATAGATTTGCACATGAAAGTAGGCAGACAAAAGCAAAACAAAACAAAACAGATAGGTATAAGACAAACTCCTCTAATATAATCCTTTGCTAGTATCCCAAATAAAAAGAACAAACTGTTTTTCCCGCATTATTGATACTACTATAAGCTATGAAATTTCCTTGCTTTGAAATTATTCAACAAGAACAGGAACACTTGGAGGAAAATATGTTCTCTTCTGAAAGTGTTCTTGATTAGTCAAAATATTACAGTTCAGTTTCAGGCTGCCTGCTCGTGTGCAGTGATTTGTAGTGTCATAGTACTCCAGTACAACAGACCAGTCTGTTTGGAGATCATTCGGCTAAGACATGAGAAGTCTGACTTGCAGAGTGAAGATGAACAGGGATGGAAACCAGGAGGAAGGCTAGCAGCAGGAGAGAGATGAGACGGGAGGTCGTTGTGCCTTATTTTATTCTAATCTTGAACATGTACTTGGCTGGGTACAGTACTGCGCTTTACATTTCTAGCCCAGTTCCATATTGTCTCCCCACCAGCAGGTGAGAGCCTCCAGAAAACACTCCATCAGTTGGATAGGCTTTAAAACCCAGAAGTCCTTGCTCATGCTCCCTGGCTTTCATGATCCACTGAGGGGCTGTGCTCCTATAGTCCTGAGAGATCCAGATGCCCAGTGGCACCATGTTGATCCAGGAATTTACAAAGCCAAAGAGGCAAGGTGAAAGGTGTGGTAAGGGCCTCTGCCTCTGAATGCTTCTGCCTGGCTATGACCCCCATTGTGTTCCTTCATGTCATTAGCCAGTGAGTCACTTGGCTGGACTTGAGTTCAAGTGAGTGGTGAAATACAAACCAATGGTCCAGAAGAAAAGAATCAAACATTGGGTGTTCAAATATCTAGGGTGCCTTCTTCTTGCTTCTGTGTAGTCTCCAGCCCAGCTCAGGGCAGATTCAGCAGGTGCTGCTGGGAAGAAAGAGTGAAAAACTGCAGTAGTGGAGTCCCCCAAAAGAGGGGTGGAGGAGAAGGAGGAGGAATAGATATGCAGCAAGAGGAGAGAGACCATGCAGCTTCAGTGGGAGACAGAAAGGGTAGCTGCATGACTTCTTAATGACTTCCTACTTCTTGATTTCTACCTTATAAAGATAGGGCCTGCCTTTGCTTTCTGTAAGATGTCCCTGTACTCTCAAAATAAACGAGCCCTTTTACTGTATACTCTTTTGGGGGCCTTCCTTACTGTCTTCTTTTTACCTTCCTTCCTCCTTTCTTCCTCCCTCCTTCTTTTCAGTGCTGTGGCTGGAACCCAGGGCCTCCCACATGATAGGTAAGTCCTATATCACTGATTACACCCCCTGCCCCAGGCTTCTATCTTTCTGCAACCAAAGAAGAGTAAAATCAAAAGTTACTAAAACCAAGTATAGAAAGCAAAATATTCTAATACGTTCTCATATGGGATACCAAAAATAGCAAAAGCCTAGGAGTTCAGGAGAAGGATGGATTCTATCAAAATGGGGTGAAAACTAGGATTCCTGTCAGCTCTGGGAGATGGCTAAAATGGGACACCGAAAGGTGATGAGAAGAGCATTCCACATACCAGTGTCAGTCACTTGCAGCAAATTGAAATCCTTCTAGCTGTGTTAAACAAGAAGAGATGCCACTGGGGAAGTTGGTGTGCGAGATTCCTGGGAGAGCACGAGAACAGGCTGGATCTGGGGCTGGCTTGTCTTGCTTCCCAGGACATAACAGCTGAACTGGCCCCAAGGTAGCTGCTGTCTTGATGGTAGTTACAAAGGCAGGGGAAGCAAAAGGCTACCCCTGGGTCCATCAAGATCAAGCACACATAACTACAGCTACAGTCCAGGGACTGCTGCCACCACCACTGTCATCCTCCCACCTCTATACCCTCCAGGCTTGTGACTGGACCCTGGCACACTGAATTTGACTACCGCTGCCACTTTCACTGCTCTTAGAAGCCACATAGGTGTGATGGCAGCAGATGACTACAGGGGTGCTTCAGCAGCCACAGCAGCCCACGGTGTCAGTTGAGAGGACTCCGGTGAGGTGAGGAGAGAGTACTCAGGAGAGCAGAGGGAGTCTGATGCCCTCTTCTGCTCTCCTTATGTATGTACCCATCTTTGGCTTGGGAGTGACCCAATCACTTGATTCCTTCTCTGTCATTATTTCTTTCAAGTGCCTTAGGGAAAACTGACAACACCTCTGATATATTTCCTTCTAAGGTCTTTTAACATCACAAATAGCTGGTTTTAGTTTTGAATGTATTTTCCTAAAAGACATATTAACAGTAGCCCTGTAAGAGGCTGAAGTATTTCACCTATGCATTTATTTTCTGCACAACCAATAAAGTCTGACTCTGAACTCAATAAAGTCTTGATTTGAATCAGATCCACCAGGGCAGTTGTGACATCTATCCTGTGTCATCATTGATCCTTCAGGAGATGGTGCAAAGAAATATTTTTTGAGACTGTATCGGAGGCCTCAGGACTAGTGTTTCCAAAATCTCCTACATGCCAAATGCAAGGAAAAGAGCCTGTGGGGCCTTTCCTGTCCTTTTTCAGGTTCTTTGCTATCACTAGTTGTCCTTAGGCTTTGCAAATAAGAGAGATGGCCAAGAATGTGGCTCAATGGTAGAGCACTTGCCTAGCATGTGGTTCAATCCCCAGCACTGCAAAATAACTAAATAAATAAATTGAAGGATTTTTAAAACGAGATATAGTGAGAATCAGCTCACAGTTAGCCAAAAAAGAATTCTTTCTGAACTGTGACAATTTGGTTTGTCTGTAGCTGGACTTACCCTTGGACCTGTGCATCCAGCAATGCCTTTTCTTAGCAAAGTGACTTTCCACTGATAGAAACATTCACACAAGCAGGATGGCAGAAGTCAGAAAAGCAAATTCAACATGTATTATCTTTGAAATACAACTGAGTGTCTATGGCCATACCATCCTGAACGCACCTGATCTCATCTGAAATACAACTAAGAATGAAATAATAGCTAATCTTGTTTGTAAACTATTGGTCCTCCAAGGAGACTGCATTGGAGCAGCAGTATCCTCATAAACAGGCCATTTCAATGCCAGTGCACAGCCCTATTTTAGGAATGTGGTCCATGAGTGATGAGCCTTTGTTCACAATGGAGGTCTCCATAGGGGATGATTCTGCAATGACAGCAGTTTCCATGCACCCAGGATGATCCTCAGACCTGGGCAAGAGGATACTGCTGTGGGCTGATCAGACTCTTAGATATCTGTAGGGGGACAATGAGGAGAAAAGAAGACAGAGACAAAATTCAGGGTATAAGGGAACCAGGGTGAGCCTGCCTCTAGTGGACAAGCTCAACAATCTCTGTAGTTGACCCACTTTTATTGGCCAGCAAGAAACTCAGGAAAGGGGAGTGTACTTTTCGTGGAACAATGATTGCAGTAAGAATGCCCCCCCAAAAAAAAGAAAGAAAGAAAAATTAAGCCTCACAAAAGGAACAAATTAATATGGATTAGGTCCTTCCCCGTACCTGGATTCCTGCATTTCTTTTGCATCATCCTCAGCAGATGTTATCTTGCCTTAGGAGTACTGTGATTGATTTTTTTTTTTTTTTTTTTTTGTACCAGGGATGGAACTTGGGACCTTGTGCTTGCAAGGCAGGTGGCAGAACCACTGAGCTAAATCCCCAGCAGGAGCACTGTGATTACGAGCTTTCCTCACAAAGCCAGGGGAGCATGCACCCGTCTGCATATTTCCCTATTCCTAAAGCAGGTCACACCAGCCTTGAGGCTGCAGGACCTAAGTCACATACCCTGATCCCCAACATTTTCCTCACATAGTTTGGTCCCCAAAAGGATACCCTGCCCCTCAGGATTCCATATATCACAGGCCTAAAAGCAGTAAGTCTCAAACTCAAGAGCCTTTCTTCCCATCAGGATCCAGAGCTCAGCCTGCAGCCTAAACACTGCAACTAACACTGCTCAGGCCCGGGGATGTGCTTCTTCAATATCTTCTGCCCCATGTCCTGAAACAAGAGCAGCTGCTCCTAAACATTTTTTAGCACACATCTTTAGGTTGATTGCTTCTAGATGTGGGGGAGCTTTGTATGGTAGAAATGCCTAAGATAAGTGATTAGCTTGTCCAATCCATCCTTGCAGCATGACTACAAAACATTCTACATAATAAAATATCATATCCAGTGAGTAGCAGCAAATGTCCAGTTGTTTGCCTATCGCTATGTCCTAATTTGTTGTTCTGGAGATATTCAAGTGCCTATGTGACATTTACAACAGCTGCATATGGCAGCTGCATTGAAATATTAAATAATTCAGCTGTGCATGGTAGCATGTGCCTGGAGTCCTGCTATGCTGGAGGCTGAAAATGGAGAATGGCTTGAGCGTAAGAGTTTGAAAGCAGCCCAGCAAGGTAACAGGAACTCAAGAACTCAACAGAGGGGGGAGGAGAGTAAGAGAGAAAAAAAAATGAGGAAAGAAGTAAAGTGAGAAAGGAAAAGAGAGAGAGAGGAGAGTTAAACAGTTTGTTTTGCTTAGACTTGTTCATGTATAGGTCTAAAAATAAGTATTGTAAAAGTCTGTTAATTATATTGACAACACATAGATAGTAAACACTACACTTGCTAATATTTTTACTTCCAGAGTATTTTTGCTAAAACGTACCTACATATTTGAAGAGTAAAGAAATATTGTGAGTTCATTTAAAGAATTTTCATTTAAAATTTAGATGCTCATTAATTGTAATTTGAATTTTGTCTTTTAATTTTGTAGGTAAAATTTTTT